AAAGCATTTTTTAGAAGTCCTATTTAGTTTAAAATATAAGGCATTGGATAGGTTATATATGTGTATGTATATTTCCAATTATATTTTCACTTTATTATACTTTACTCAATTAATGAATAAAAGTGTTTTAAATAAGTCAAAAGTAAATTTGTTTCACTTAAGGTATGACTGGAAAGATGTTAAGATTTCTAAAAATACTACATTTTAACCCATTCGTTTTAAGAAATGTAAATTAGTTAATGGTGACTTCTATTATAATCTGAAGAGAACATGTTATTGTATTTAAGATGTCATAAATGTTTATTAAATAAGTATTTATTAGTTAAAAGAAGTACAAACTCAGAACAAATATTAATTAGCAAGATTGTCATATATATGTATGTATGTATGTATGTATATTATGAAGCCTTTTTAACTCAACAGTTAACTAAAAAAATCCTTCAACTTCTACTAATGTTCAAAGTTAAAACATGATGTGCTTGCACATTGCAACGATTTTAATACTAGAAAGATAATATTGCTCTAATAAACAATTTAAAATATTTGTTTACGGTGCATGGGCATGCCAAAGAAATAAATCTTCAAATAGTGATGTACTTTACCTATAAATCAAATAGTGAATTTTTGGAGTCTTTTACCACAATTTTCCTAGATGCAAGTACTTAAAAGTGACGAAAATGAAGGCATAAAGAAGGAAAAAAAAAAGAGAGAATTGCATGGTAAGAGTAGACATAATATTGATAATGATACAAAAGAAATTATAAGAAATATAAAACGGAAAACTAAAAGAAAAGCACTTAAGCGCTTGCTAATGTTCTACTTGGAGTTGTTGCTACAGAATTTGCTGCTATCTACATTGCTCTCAGGGAACTACATTGAATTGGTTAAAGGAAGAAGTGCCTGATTTGATCAAACTAAGATATTAAAAATCAAACCGATCATTATCGTAAGTCAAGAGTTAGTGGTTCAACTAGGGATTAACTTAGAGTCAGACCGATCCTAATTAAAATAATATAATATAGTTTACATACATAAAAATATTCATATTTAAATATAAAAAACAAATATTAAATAAAAAAATTATTAGTTCTACTTAAATAACCCAACAAAAAAATTAATATAGAAAAAAACTTATTCATGTCAGCACAATTCCAATAAAAAGTTAAATAATTTAACTTAAATATCCTAATAAAAATTTAATAATAATATAAAATTCCAACAAATTAATAAAAATAAAAGTAAAAATATAGTTTAAAAAAATAAATATTCATTTAAATATTGTCTAAATGAATCAGCCTAATATTTTGTGGCTTGATGACCTATCCCTAATAAATGAATCCCTTAATGTGTTTGAGAAGCAACAATTTGAGAAGCCGAAACATGTTCAAAAGCTTTGGTTGGAAATTGCAACTTTGGTTAGCAAGTGTTGGGCAAGATGACATTTATGTACCATTATCTATTTCAAATTCTCTCTCTCTCTCTCTCTTAAATACAACCTTTTCGTTCTCAGAGCTCAAGCTTTCACATTTGCCTTTTTAGAAAACGAAAGTACAGAGAAGTTCCTCAGAGTTTCGAACTGTATGAGGGACTTCAACATTCAACCACAGATAGTGATTCAACATGCTAAGTGTGAATCAACTAGGGGTTGGGGTCAGTATGTCTTATTGTTTTTTCCCCCTTCTTAGTTCTTCATCTTTCACTTCCCTTAAGTGCTTCTTCTTCATTTGTTCAACAGCCTTAGGAAGGGAAGAAAGTAAACCGTTCAACCCACCTAATCGATAAGTTTGAGCGGGTCATTCCTTATTTTTTGCAGGCCGTCCGGGTTTATCCAAGTTGGCATGCAGCTGATTTAAAAAAAAAAAACTAGACAAAACACACAGCTGGTTCGCTGGTCCGGCCAAGTTCGGTTTTTCAAATGATGGGTCAAACCAAATGTTTAAATAATTGGAATATTGTTGAATTGGTTGAACTTTGAGAGGTGTTTGAGATATTCATGTGTTGTGGCTTCTTCTTTTTACAGGCACAAAATGGCTATTTTCACATGACTCCATGCTCCATTTTTAGGGCCATTATCTCTAGTGTTCCCATAACTTCCTTGACTTCCATTTTTCCATAGGGGTGCATCGCCTGACCTTGTTTTCTTGCAACTTCCTCACATCTAGAAGCCTGAAATAGGACTTGGGCCAAAATTGAATTTTAGCCCAAAAAATTAGAATTGGGCCAAATATTATATTTTAACACAAACAATATCCAATACTCTAGTAAAATAGTTTGAGGATAAAAAATGTGCTTTAATCTATTATTTTTTATTCTCAAGACGTTTCCATTTATCTCTTGCTGAATTTTGACAAATATTGAATGCCCATTTGTGTAAGTAGCTTCTCCAAGCTTGGCACCAAATCGTTTTTCAAGAAAAAACAATTATTATTAAAGTAAAACGATCGCACTAAAGTCCCAAAAAATGACTGAAAGAATTCTTGAGCCCACACACCTTTTTATATGTGTAAAAGCCCACAGTCTGACCACAAGCAAATGTGCAAAGGAAAACGAGATGCAACCCTGGAGTGGCCCAAATACATTTTGAGTCCCTTCTATCCTGACACCACCAAATAAGAACATTGATATCCAGATCCAATGTCATGACTTATTACAGAGTTAAATTTACCCAAATAATTTAGTATATTATATTTAAATTTATATTTATATATATCCAAATATTATATGCAATAGTAAATCAAATATTAAAAAACAGACGGATTATCAAGGTTTAACAATTACTTCATCCTTGTATCTCGAAAATAATTGATGTTCACGTAGAAGAAGTGACCTTTTTGTAAATAATAGGCGTATCTATCAAACTTTTAAAATTGATTCCTACAGCAACTGGTCTTTAAAATGTTTTATAGAACAACTGTTCTAGAAAATATCTTTTTTTCTCAGAATTTAATTTTTGTGCTTTCTAAACCTAATTAATTGACAACTGGTTTGGAAAGTTTTTTTTTTTTTTTTACTTTTTACTTTCTAAACCAGTTGTTCTTATAATTGGTTTTAAAAAGACTTACTTTTTTCTGAATACTAAATTAATAAATTACTTTTTAAATTGATTATTTTAACCTATCTTGAAAGAAATAAAAATTTAAAAAATTACATTTTCAATTACATTTTAGACTAATTGTTTTATACAACCAGTTTAAAAAGTCTTTTTGAAATAAAACTTCACATGGCTGCGATGCCACCTATCCTTTTAAGAATATTGTTGATCAAGCTAGGTTTTTCTTTTTTATAGAGAGTTAGATTGAATTTAATCATGCGTATAAGAACTAAAATAGCATTGCTGATTATCTAGCAAACTTATTATGTTAACTTTTGCTTCTTTAATTATCATCCATGTCCAGATTCAGAAGTGGAGGATGATAAAAGAGGATATGTTTGTCTTGCCTTTTGTTTTTTTTTATTACTTCTACTTTGTTGGTTAGTTTTGGTTAGTAATGCATTTCAGTTTTCATTCAAAACAATAACACTTCACATTCTATTCCTCACACTTCACTGCCTCTGCGTGGCATTTGAATTCTCTGTTGCATAACAGCCACCACCCAAATTAAAACCCTTTGTGGTCATGTTCCAAAGCTTCTCCTTTCTTTCTGGGTTACAGGGTTAGTGTTCACTAGGTTCTTCGTGCTCATGTTCACTACTTCAACCTACAAGCCTTTATCCTTCATTTGAATTCACTGCTTGTGTTTGGTTCTTTGCGCTTGTGTTCTAGGTACCTTCAATCCATGAAGCTTCATTCGTCGCTCACTCATTCGAATTGTAAGCTCTTGTTCTGGGTCTTGTGTGTTTTGCCCAGGCATTTTTTTAATTAATTTTTGTTCAGATATACACAAGGGTTCAATTCTGGGTCCTTCAATTCGTGATCATTGGCTTCAATTTCTGGGGTTGCAGCTTCAATCCATAAGCTCGTGCAGTTTCAATTTTTGGTTCCTGTTGTGTAGCTTGAATTTCTGGGTTTTTGTCAAGTGATAGCCAAATACACGAAATCTTCACATTTTTTAAATCACAAGCTAATTCTTAAAACAAAAGCTTTAATAAGTACCATGATGGATTGGCAACTTGTAATATGTGCAACTCTAATACGCATGGAATTAATAAAATAAAATAAAATAAAACAGGGGAAAAAAGCATTAAAAAAGAAAGGAAAAATATGCACAAATCCTTAGTTTCTTCAATTTTAAATTAGATCATTGAAATTAAATTTAAAATTATAATTTAAGTACCAAGGGAATGCTTTATTAAAACGAGAAATATGCACACATTTTTCACAAGGGAATGAGAAATCACAAGCTAATTCTTAAAACGAAAGCTTTATTAAGTACCAAGATGGATTGGCAACTTGTAACATGTGCAACTCTAATTCGCATGGAATTAATAAAATAAAATAAAATAAAAAAGGGAAAAAAAAAGGCATTAAAAAAGAAAGGAAAAATATGCAAAAATCCTTAGTTTCTTCAATTTTAAATTAGATCATTGGAATTAATGTTATTCAAATCAAGTCCTTATAATTTGATCATTATATTTTCTAATCCATGAAATTAAAATTCTTAAATTTTTCCTCTTAAAAAAGTAAGAACTTTTATTAAAATGTTGACTTAATTACATAATTTTTATAATTCAAAAGTTATATAATCCAGTTGTCTTCTAAATAATTTTTATATATATGAAATTTCATAAAAAAATTTAAAAAAAAGTAAATGTGTAAATTAAATAAAATTTTCTTTTCAATTTCAGCCAAAGTATTAAATCAAATTTGTTACAATCTTCGAGAGTAATTTTTTTTTTTTGGGAATGTTGATAATTTATTATTAATTTTAACCTTCATGAATTAATAATAAATAAGGGTTTGATTAAAATAAAATAAATTATAAGAATATAATTTAAATTTAAGAAAAACTATGAGGACTTGCAAATTAACTTTCCCAAAAGGAAAGGAAGAGGGCGGGGACTTGTCAGAAATGAATTTCATTTCATTGAAAAGTGATCTTCCCACAGTAATAACATAAAGACTCAATTTAATCTACAGAGTAAAGGTTTGGTGCATAAACACCAAATCTACACAAGAATCTTAAAGTAAAAATCAATCAATATATACAGTTAAGAGGGCACCACAAGTGAATACTACAACGGAAAGTTTGCTAAAATTTTACTTTCCATACGTAGAATCCACTCACAAATGATGGGATTCACCTGTTCCGGCACCTCGTCATGAGGACAATGGCCTGTCATATCAAAAGAAAATCATAGCAATATGGCTCAAGGAATTTTAGCTAAAATAGAAGCATTTGATGTTTAAGATACTGCCTCTAATCCTATTACAAGGCATCTTTAAAATAAAAAAAATTAATCTTTAATATAAAGAACATAGGATTATTTATTACCATTTTGTAATTTTATCCCTGTTGTAAATTTAATTTTATAACTTATCATATACTGTGTATCTCTCTCTCTTTTTAATAGGGATAAAGTTAAAAAAAATTCATTTTAAGACATCTAATGAGTTAAATGTTATTCATTGATTTCAATAAAGTTGTTGAAAGTATCTTGTAATAGGGACCGAAAAGAGTACTCCCTCCGTTTTTATATATAAGAGAAAAAAATTACATCACATAATTTAAGAAAACTAGTTAATCATAATAATTATGTTTGAAAATAAAAAAATTGAACTAAAATGCCTTATGTTAATCAATATAAGCATGTAATAATTATTTTTTGTTAATGTAAATTATGAGGGACGATTTAAGAAATGTGTAATAAATGCCTATTGAAATATGTGATTTTACTTATATAAAAAAATAAGTAAAAGGTAATAGTTTCTTTTTTATAAATAGAAATGGAGCAGTAGTATTTACCAGCATTTAATTCCCTAATCATAGCTCCATCACAATGTTCTTTGAACATGGCCACCTTGGAATTAGAGTCAGAAAGTGGATCTTTCATTCCCTAACAATAAGGAAATCATTAACAGGAGAGAGACCAAACAAGGTAAATTTATAACATAACATGGTAGTTTAGACTTTTGGTCTCTGCTGGCTTTAATTCGGTCCACCCAATTCTTCTTTTTTTTGGGTCGATTGGTCCACCTAATTAAAAAGCATGCAGTGTTGCCTAAAATGATTCAATTTTGACCCTATTTCATATTTCCTTCAAGACTAACACTAGATCTAACATAATACAAGGACACCAAACTTGTTACTAAACCACATCAGAAAAATAAATCGCTGATTAAGTCAACAACTTGTAAAACTCATCGTCAAATTTTCATTCAATAATGTAAATATAAAAAGATATGAAAGCAATATGATTTTTCAATAAGGAAAACTCATTGAAGCATTTACCAAACTAGTAAGAACAAAGTGTATTTAAGCCTTCTTTTTCATATTTCAAGGTATGGCCCAAATTGGGCTAAAGCACCCATTAAACTTTTAAATATTGACAAAGTGTATTTAGTTTTTTAACTTTATACAAGATTTTATTTTAATCTCTTCATTTTATAAAGTGCTTTTTCAATCTTTTAACCCTAACACAATTAATTTTATCAATAAAAAATTCCTACATTAAACTTTTAAATGTTAACAAACAATTTTAAATGTTGATGTATTAAGTTAATATTTTTAAAATAATAATATTTGGCACAAAAAATAATCATTTAAAACTAACAATGTTAAGGTTAGAAGACTGAAAAGATACTTTATAAAAATAATCCTATTAAAATGAAATTTTATATGAAGTTAGAGGTCTAAAAATACACTTAAGCCACCAAAAGTATATCTCAATGTCAGAATACCTGTATAATCAAAACCTTCTCCTTAACATCTTCAAGAAGATAGTTCAGAGGGATGGAAAGATTGAAACTGAAGATACTTTCCAGGACCACAGGCACGCCAGGGTCATATGACTAACACACATGTCAAGGATAACAGATTCAGACGTGCACATCATAAGAATATTAAAAAAAAAAAACTAAACACAACAAAAATAAAAAGCAAATTGTATAAGTAACGGATACTGCTCTAAGCATTTCATTTATGAGCCAATTATCGACTCTCTCTATTCTCTGCAAAATAAAATGCCAGACGATCAGACACCTTCATCAAGACCAAAAAAGAATACCAATATATCAAATTCAGAAAATCCGTAACAAAAGCAAGCTTACTGTTGGATAGTACTTCTTAACTAGGTCTTCAATTCTTAGCCTCAGGTAGAATAGAAGAAGGCGAGAACCCAACCAGAAGGCCCCAGAAGTTTGTCTATCCTGAAAATTTATATATCAATTAAGTATTGCTTCTAAATGAATTAATCCAAAAATTTTGCTCCATAAGTTATAATCAACATTGTAGAACCATAGCAGAAGAACAGATTGGAGAAAGTTTAAAAACCCAGTAGGGCATGATGTAAATCTTACATTTGATGATAATCTAGGACAATGTGAATCAATAAAAAACAAATTTTAAGATCAATTTACTGTTATATGAAGCACTTTTGAAGGGTTCTACTCATTCACGATAACAACAAAATCATGATGAAATCCATCACTTCATCTTGTTCTTTGATTATAGTTTTCTTTCTTTTCTTTTCTTTTTTTTTTAAATCAAAATCTTGAAAAGATGTGTAATGATTTCAAATCAAGAAAGCAATCCTGTCACAATGGGTTAAGATATTCTTTTGTGAAAAAATTTATTCTCTATGGGATCATATTTAAGAAAACCCAGGTGGATAACAATGGTGCTTTTTTTCTGCTAATTTGTATAACAAAGGTGCATTTATGATAAGCAAATAACACGTTGAAAAATGGCTGATTTAACCATAGCATTATGATTGGCCCAAAAAAAAAAAAAACCATAGCATTATGAATGAATTTTAAGATTTTTTGACAAAACAATTGAAAACATTATCATATTCTATCTCACATATTAATATAGAATTTCACTCATTCTCAGAGACCCATACTTTTGATAGTGGCACCGACTTGTATCCTGGAATGATATTGCCTGCACTGTTAATCAGGACAATAGATTTGATCAAAGCATGCCAACTTCGAGCAACAATAGCAGTCAAATAACCTGGATAGAAAGCAGAAACAATTAAGAAACCAACCCACCAACAAAAATTAGAATAGACGGATGCAATTCATTTAAAGTAGCATGTATGTGCGGAAGATGACAGCATTTTGTCTACAAGGTGTCCCCGTGTATGCTTAAAACATACCACCAATTGAGTTACCAACAAGGTGGACTGGTTCACCCACAACATCAACAATGAAATCTCTCAACAGTTCAGCCCACAAAACCTCAGAGTAGGTTATATTTGGCTTTTCCGATCTGCCAAATCCTAACAATGTGATCGCCCATACCCGATTTCCAGCTCCAGCTACAAAATGTATGTTGTCACGGTAATGCTCCCAGAAAGCACCAAAACCATGCACAAGGAGAACGGCAGGGCCTTCTTCACCAGCAACTGTATACTGATAAAACAAAGATAAAACAATATTGGATTTAATTTATCCATATTTAAGGTGGACCAAGAATTTCCAATGCCTTACATGAACAAGAAAATATAGAAACTAGTGGACTCCGAAAGAATTGTAGACCTGAATAAGGTAACCATTCCATCTCCATATCCGTCTTGAATGCATTCCATGACTATTTACCTGACTTCGTAGCGCCATAAGCCAATACCACTGAAACCAAAATAAAATAAGAAAACATTTTCATTCTCTTATCTCATATGTTCAAACGTCAAGGAAAACATCCAGACAAAACAATTCACATATAAGAAAGATTAATTCATCCCCCCGGGGGGGGGGGGAGAACCAAGTCAAGAAATTCATAACATGGCCTAATGGTAAAATTTAGCACCTCCATTGAACACACAGCATCAACTGCTGCTGCAATTGTGGCTGCTGAATATCCAAAAGGAGAAATAAATCCTGCATTTCGCTCTTTCTCATATTTGATAGCTTCAAAATGCACTCTTCTTCTAGATATAATGCCAAGACACAAGGCAGCACTAAAGAGTCCAATAAATGATGCTCCATCGCGACTTTCAGCAGCACGTACTTTTTCATGTACCCTGCACAAATTAAGTTTAAAGAACAATTTAAACATGCAATAATTTTTATATGACAAATTACACTTCAATATAAGCTCTTCAGAATCTAAACATAACAAAAGATAAATTCATCCAATACTTAATACATATTACAAAATATTTATTTTATTAAAGAGTGTAAATGAAAATAATGAAACCAATTTCTTATCACCAACAGTACAAGTTTTTTATTTCAATACAGTAAAACATTCCATAAGTATTTGGTTGGCAACTTAGAAAGTTAAAATTTATGGATACAAGAAAATGCAATCCAGTTTCCACTAGATTCTGATGGCAATTTATGGATGAGGAAAAATTAATGCAGGATAGCAACAGCATTAGGGGTTTGTCGACTGAAAATCAGGATTTCAAGGGTGAATCAAAGGGTTTACATCAGCTGATGTGAAGATTTATTGAATCCGTGACAAGGAAAGACCCGTAGGTTAGATGGGCTTAGGGTCAACTCAGTGGCAGTTTGGTTATTGTGATTTGTCAATAGGACTGGAAAGAATAGGATCTTAGGACTAGTAAATTTTAGGGAAAATTCAAGCAAGCACAACTACGATTGTCGATGAGATGGACTATTGATGCCACTTTGGACAAAATGATGATTGGGTAGTATACAGAATCAAAGAAAACATATCAGTAGCAGAGAAGATATGAACCAGAATATCAGACCTCGCTTCAAATTCTTAGGTAATGCAACTAAAATTCATGAAAAAGCACAAGATGTACTTCTGAGTTTTGTTTCTCTTCCAACCTCAACTTAAAACTCAACATCTAGTAAAGAATATTGTAAGAAGTGACAGTCACTACATACTCTTGCCAGTCATCTCGAGCTGTCCCCTCCAAATATCGTAAATATGCAGCCAATGCATTTAATACATTGTTTGTTCCACCCCCAACAACATTTCCTTTCTGCGTGATAAAAACTGATTGATGCACTGTTCTTGCTTTCATGTCCTTGAAACTTGAACTTCTGTCACTGCTATGGCTAGTCATTAACTCTTTCCTCTGCAGTAAAGTTTCAGCAGATGTCTCCTTGATTTGAGTCCAATTCGATTTTGGATTGATACCCATGAATTCCTTTATATCATCACATAAGGGAAGAGGACCTAGTGTAATGAACAATATTCACAGAAGTTAGGCCCCACAATAAAGAGAAGGAAATTATGCATGTCAGAAAACAGTTAATTATAATCTTACAAAGAAGAATACAAGGAACCAGAACCATTAAAAGTCCACAAACAAAGAACTTACCACCCCAGTCCAGTTCCATTTCAGCTGCAGGCAACTTGGATAGCTGAACTGGTGTAGTTATTGGTAATTGGAGTTTCATAAAGGCTTCATATGATGAAGGAAGATTTTGCAAACTCTGAGAAACAATTAATAATGACTGAATTACTCAGGTTATAATTCAAAATCAACTCAACATTTTAAAGAAGCAACCATTCCAATGAACAAGGCAAATATAATTACAAATTACCTTTATGTCATAAAATGGAGTTTGCCACATTTCAATCCTCAGGCTACCCTCCGGAATTATCATGGATTTCAACTTCTCTTTGACAACATCCACCATTAAGCGTAGTTCATACTCTACCTCCTCTTCCAAAAATACACAAGTAGCTTTCACCTGTTGTATCCTCGGTTATGGATTTAACAAAATGAACTGATGAGTGCTTGAAGATCTCCTTTTGCCTGGATCATAAATCAAACTAAAAATATAACAACCTCTCTTGCAAGTTCTTGTATAACACTCTCAGCATTGCCGAACCTGATCATTAGATCAGAGCCCTGATCCTTCAACGACTTCTTCAAGTCTTTCACAGCAAATAGAACCAATTCTAACATTTCATCAGAAAAACCTGCACAGTCATTACAAACGAACATACTTTATTTGTTTACCTTTAAGCAAGCAATTGCCTGCTTAAAGTGAAGACAGCATAATACAACTGGCAACAAAAAGAAGGAGTAATTTGTATGTTCAACAACTCTCTCACAGGTTTACCACAACAATATTATAAATAATTGGAATTAAATGCCAGTATTCCAATTATATCTAAATTTTCATTTTCTCAAACAAGCTGCACGTTGCACAACAGAATTCAAGACATTTTCTTGTATGAACTCCAACAGAATGCATTAGATAATATTGAGACTTTTAGGTTGAAAGAAAATCACTAATTTGTCATACAACCTAGCTACTTAAATACACTAAATAAATTGTTTCAAAATAATAAATGAATATAAAGGGCAACACAAATATTATAACTCCTCGTATCTAAAGACCAGAATCACAAGAATAGTAAGAAAAAAACCATGTCAAATGCAGAACTCAGAATTCTTGCCCACTTATATTTATCATCTCTTCAGAATTTCTAAAACTGTAATTCCAGCTCTCACTATATATTGGGCAAACCTTTCTTACGATTTTAATTCCTGAACAATCTACACCCCTTCAGTTATCAATCTGCGACAACGCATTTCTAAAGGGGAAAAATCAAAAGTAAGAAACAGAGAGAGGTATAACTAAGACGAAGGTTATCTCAAACCACTTCATTATTTGAGTGGTCCTCATGTTTAAGTTAATTCAACATTCGCCAACTGTAGCCAGTGTTCTATATATTGAAATTACTCATGCACACAAGACTGTTTATTCAATTATCACATTTTGCATAGGCTCATTCAATGTGTTAAAAGTTAAAGTTAAATCCCCTTCATTGATACTTAATAGTATTTCACCAAAATTATCAAACAAAATTCCTTAAGAATTATTGAGATCTTCCACTAACGTCTTTATCACTGAAAATAACTGAACTTGACAGTCAATAACCGACAAGTATAAGAACCCCTATCAACTTTAATCCATTGAAAAGCGTCTCAGATTCCAATCATACTCAATTCTGACTACCACACTCCGGGGAAATGAGGATATTTTTTACACCACACAACGTGGTGGCACAGAGAAGCACACTCGCATGAAAGTAAAAATCACACTCACGGGAAAGAATCCGGCGATCGAAGATGTAAACAGGAACCAATGCCCGAAACTTCGATGCTGCAGCAAGGCCTGGGTGATCATCGACACGGAGGTCGTGCTTGAACCAGAGAATAGCCGTACCATTGTGATCTCTGGTACTACTTGCCGTCATTCTCATCCTGGATAAGGAGCAATAGCATCGAGTTTGAGAAAAGGGCCGGCCGATTGGCGAGTAGGAAAGCGAAGGAAAACGCGGGAAAGTGAGGAGAGCCATGGAAAAAGCAGCAGGAAAGTATAACAGAGGATCATGATCGTTTAAGAAGAACTCAAAATGGATCCGTCCGCCAAGAGATTTTGGATTTGAGGCTGTGTATTTTGCGGGAATTTGTTTATGGTGAAGAAAAATCGAGACTGGGCCCTCACCATTTCAGTTCAGGTTTATGTTGACCACAATGCTCCACGACAGCTGACTTTTGTTGCGGCGCCAGAAATGCCTTCAGGATCTCTTGCCTGATGAGGGGGAAAAAAAAAATTAAAAAACACCGAAAATGAAAATTTTCAATGCAAAAACATTTGAATTTTAAATTACAAATGAAAAATAATTAGGGAGAATTAATGAAAAGGACCAAGCTGAAAAAGAAATTATACCTAAAAATCAAGTTAAATTTAAGGATTAAACTAAATATTTTACTCATTAAACAATCCGAACAAACAATCAAAATTGCCCTCCATTAAAACCCACAAAATTAGAGGAGAAAACAACAAGGTTGCCTGTCAAAGACGTGCATCTTAAGCCATATCTTTACAATTAAGCCAAAAGCCTTGTATTAAAATTAAAAGTCTTGCACCCTAAATTAAGATCCTTGCACCTTTTAATTGTTAAGTTTACATGTAATTAAGGGGTGTTAAATTTTTCTGGCGACACTTTTCAATAATCCTTCACGTGCAAGCTGGAGCTCTGGCAAACACACTGTTAACTATTAGAGGAGTGGCCGAATTTGGCAATCAAATTTTGTATCTTTTTCTTAATTTCTTTTTAGTTAACATAGATGGATATTTTGATTATTTGATCAAATTATTTTATGAATAAAATAATAAGCTTGATACTTCAACTTATTTTAGTCTTTGGACACAATTTTAGTTTCAATCAAGTCTTTTCAAACAATTCTCCCGATTTAAAATAACTGCATAATTGGGGTTTTTCTGGGTACCTCAGTCATGATTTGGATTGAGGGGGAAAAAAACAAAACGGCGGTATTAGGAGTGAGAAGAATGTGAAGTATCTCTGCATCAATATCAATCATATGCCTAGTGTTGTTGGACAGTGAGGCGGAATAAGCTTAAGATTTTAAGGGAGCCAAAGTTGGGTTGCCCAATCGGAACAAGTGACTATAATATGTATATTTCATCCATATTATTTATATATCATTTTAACGTGTTGTATCGCAATCAAAAAAAAATATTTTTTTTGGGTAACAAAAATTATTTTATTCATAAAATAATTTGATCAAATGATTAAAATACCCTCTATGTTAATTAAAAAGAAATTAAGAAAAAGGCACAAAATTCAGTCACTGGAGTTCCAACAACCTGTGACTGGAGCTCGGCCACTCCTCCAACAGTTGATAATGCGCTTGCCAGAGCTCCTGCCAACAGTTAAAGGATTGTAGGAAAAATTTAACACCCCTTGATTATATTTAATCATTAAAGATTACATGTAAACTCAATAATCAAAAGATGTAAGAATTTTGGCTTAAAGTACAAGATTTCTTGTTGGGATGTGAGGCTTCTAGCTTAGGTGCAAGGGATTTGCCTTTAGGTGCAAGGCTTTTGGTTTGGGTGTAAGGGATTTGGGATTTGATTAGGGATGCAAGACTTTTGATTTAGGTGCAAAGCTTCTGGCTTGAAATACAAAAGATATGACTTAACGTGCACTTGTTGAATAGGCAACAATTTCTTTTTCAATTTTCTTAGTTTAAATAGAGAGGCATTTTGGTCATTTATTCAAAATATTTAATAAATAAAATATTTAGTGGCCACAATTTCTCTTTCAACTTGATCCTTTTCACCAATTTTTTCAAGTAATTATTTCTTATTATCGTGTTCAACTAGAATTTAGGAAAAATGATGGAGAAGTTTAAGGGTATCAATTAATTCAAATTAAGTCTCAAGTGTTAAATTTTAAGAATTTATAAGTTCTGCTATTGCAAATTATTTTTTAAAATTTAACACGATTAAAAAATAAATAAGTTTATTTTTTATTAAACTTTAAAATATAAGTTATAAATTTATCAAAATAAAATTGTAAAATTAAAAACAAACTGACACATTCCTAAAATTTGGCTATTATGGTAATTTAAATTAATTAATTCTTTTAGTGTCTTCTTTCATTGTCCTGGAATTTATCCCGGGCAGCGATGTGATGTTTTTTTTTTTTTTTGGGGCAGCGATGCGACGTTTTAACTTTTAAGATGATATGTTTATGGTAATGAATTGTATGAATCATATTATACATTAATTGCGAATAAAAGTGGGTAGATTATTATTGGTACATAAACCTTACACGCAATATTTTTTAGGATAGGCTTTAACAAACCTTTGGTGGTTTAATTCTGTGAAGCATAAGAATTTTTATTTGCTTTTGTAACTTTTATATTGTGAGGGTTATGGTATTAACAATAAAGTGAATTATAATATATGCTACTTGCACCTAAGATCCTGATTGTATAAAAATTAGAGAGACTTACCATGAGATCTCCACAATACAATTAAATATGACAAGGTTTATTGACAATTTAATTTAACATAACCTAATTAAATCTCATTTGTGTTATATTTTAATTATTATTTTTATTTTAAAAATTAATTTTTTGAGTTTTTTTATAATTTTATTTTTATTTTTACTTGGAGAAATGTCTTTCACCCTCTATTACTATTATAAACATTTTCTACCATGATATAATTATTATTTTAAAAAAATTTGAATTTTTTGATAATGTTATTATTTAAAATGACATAAATTCAATATATGAGTAAGGGAAGTTTCACTTGATGTGAGACTCATAATAATGCTATCTTATTTTAGAGTAGACATTCCTGGTAGCTTTATCCTGCAACACTTTACTTGACCTCCTACAAGTAAAAACTAGTTGTAAGTAGTTCCCTTTATAGTATTGATCTTTAAATGAAAGCATCAATGTTAATTATGAGCATTAAGACTATTACTATAGCCTTGATGCCTAGCCAAGCTCGATAAAAATTTGCTCAACACAGCCCAAGAAAAAGAAAAGTAGCCCGAAAGGATTTGGGCATGTTCGGCCTAGCACAGTTGGTCAAGAGACAAGGCATGCCCCCTACTCGAACAATATATATTTATAATATCCTATTTTTTTATATATCAAAGGTTAATGTTAAAATTCGCACTTAGTCAATGAGATAAGAGAGCACTTCTAAAAAAACAAATAATCCTTGACTCCTTTCATTGAAAATGAGGTTTTATTAAAAAAAATTACATATATAAACCATCCTTATTAAAGTTCATAATGATATTTTATTTTGTTTAAGTCTTCATAGCTTTTCTTTCTTTCTTTATTTTATTTCACAAGTAGATTTCTTTCTTCTTTTTTCTCCTTACTTTATGGCATATATTAATTAATTTATAATTGTTTTTGTATTTTTTTCCACATGTTCCTCCTTTTGTTTATTTTGATGAGATCAAGTATTTTTTTCTTTCTAGATGCTCCTCTTTTTGTTCTGTTCCAGTTTTCATCATGTATTTTTTTTTGGATGCTCCTCTTTTTTATATTAATTAATTTATAATTGATTTTACTAATAAATTTCTTTCTTTCTTTCTTTAAACCATCACCAAGGCCCCACCTAATGCTGCCCAGTCCAAAATGCTTGGGCATCTCGCACGGGCAAAACTAGTTCATACTTTAAGCAAAGATCCTAGCTTGTTCTACTCATGTATAGCCCTATTGAGTACAAGTTCAAGGGAAAATCCCCTCTCAAAAAACTATCATTTTAGGTAAAAAAGACCTTCAAACTTATAAAATTCACTTCACATGTGAGGTGTCCTAATGTGAGACTAATAATATCATGTTGCAAATCTTTTGTTGCATTCTCCACGGATTTGGAACAAGGAATTAGTTAAGCAATTATGTTGCCAAGCCAATAAAATCTTACTGACACCAATGTCATTCTCTTGCAGAAGCATACACTTGTATGAAATGGAAGCTTGGAGGGTATACATAAATCCAAAGATGATTTTTCATATTTCACGTGAAGGCTTTAATACTTGGCTATCCAATTCAGATCTTTTTCTCTTAGAAACATTGACGTAAAGTAGGCACATGCATAAAGGCTTGATTTGTTACCTTCTTCATATTTGTGAATGATTGAATGGAACAATAATAGCAGTGGAAAAAAGCAGTGATCAAGTCTGGAAGAAAATGAAGTTCATTCCTTGTTGTCAATATGAATGAGAAAAGTTCATATTTTAATTATAATCAAACAGGAGAATATGATCTTTGAGGAGGTGGACTGGGAAATAGAATTGCCTCGCATTTGTAGTGGTACGGCTTGCAGATATCATGTTGAATTTGGGTATGGTGAGTGGTTTAAATATAATAACTTAATGAGTGTCTTATTTATAGCCCTTAAATTTCATTAATACTTGACAATTATCAAGATACATTTTCTTTTAAAAATTCAAAATAATCTTAACAATAAGAATACTCCTTGTATTACTATTCACCTAAAAAAATTTTAAGTATTATATGACAAAATTTGCAACAGCAGCTATTTAATTAAATTAAACATTTATCACTAAGCCACATGAGACATTCATAGTAAGTGTACTCAAGTCAATCTTCCAATGGAAACCTTTGGTTTAGACGTGCAGCTGAGTAGGACTTTTTTGGGCAGTCTTGCATAATAGCTTTGCGCAGCATTTAGTATTGCCATTTTCTCTTAATTTTGTGTCCATTCGATGCAAAAAAAAAAAATGGAAATGTAATAAATAGGAAAATAGAATGAAAAAAGTTATATTTTAATTTTTTTCCCCCCTAACTAGCTAAACTCTTCCCATAAGATGGGGTATACATGCAACACTTACTTACCTAATACACAAAACACAAAATTATTTAAGAGGCCTAATATATTATCATTCATTTATTTTCATATTATTTTTTCAATTAATTAAAACAATATTCAAGTTTTCTATTTAACATTTTTTGCCACTTCAAATCTATAAAAAATTAAAACAATTATAATTTAAAATAAAAAATAAAAGAAGAACAAACACCTATGGTATAGCCGATATTTAAGATCATAACTAGTGTTTTTTCTTTTTAAGCAAAACTTCCATTTTCAAAGAAAAATATATAGTTAACATTAATACTTAACCG